CAACAGTGTACATTTTCAAACCTAATAGCTGAGAAATGATTACGGCAGTGTAGTTTTAATTTGCAACTTTCTTATTAGGAGTGAGGGTAGGTATCCTTCTCTATGTCCAAAAAATGTTTTTATTTTTTTGTGAGCTGTTACCATTCTTAGCTCATTTTACTGTTAATTTGGGTTGTCTTTTTCCTATTTCTACTTATAGGTGCGCCTTCTAGATAGGGGAGATTTGACTTTGGTCTATGTAAAGAATTATCAACATTTCCCTCCAATTTACAATTGTCTTTCAATATCACATATAGTATTTTTTGCCATGTAGAATTTAAAAATATTTTTATGTAGTTAAATTTATCAATAATTTCTTTAGTGACTTCTGGATTTCAGTTCATAGTAAAAAGTGTTCTTCCCTATTCCAAGGTTTTAAAGGAATTCTTCTTTCTTTTAGTAGTTTTGTCTTTTTTAAAGTTCTATTTATAATTGACACATAATTGTATGTATTTATGGGGTACAGTGTGATGATTCAATGCATGTATACATTGCGTAATAATCAAATCAGGGTAATTAACATTTCCATTACTTTAAACATTTGTCATTTCTTTGTGGTGATAACATTCAAATACCTCTTTTTCTTTTAGTAGTTTTGTAGTTATCTTTTCCTTTCCTTCCTTCTTTTCTTCTTCCTCTCTCTCCCCCTAGGCTCCCCACCCCCATTTGGGATATTCCAAGTGTATGGTATGAGGTATGGATAATATTTTAGGAAATCAGCTTGTTTCCATCCATGTATATTCTTTTTATACTTCCCCCATTTAAAGTAAATAGGTGGTTCAGTGTCTCTATAGAACAGAAGTCAGAGATATTATGCAACATTTTCCGGTTTTTGTTTCCAAAAATTTAAGCCCCTGGGAAGATTTAGAAAGTTTGTGGAAAAGAAAAAAGGGAGAAGGAGATTTTCAGATATAGGTAGAGTGTCCTAGGGAAGTAGGGCAGAGAGGTGTGGTTGGTAGAAAGTGAGGTTTCTCCCACCACTTCTCTCCAACACACACACACACACACACACACACACACACACACCCCTCCATAGGAGGAAAACAAGAGACAAGTCTGTAAATTCTTGATATGGTTTGTATTTGTGTCCCTGCCCAAATCTCATGTCAAATTGTAATCCCCAGTGTTGAAGGAGGGGCCTGGTGGGAGGTGATTAGATCATGGAGGAGATTTCCCCTTGCTGTTCTCATGATAGTGAGTGAATTCTCCTGAGATCTGGTTGTTTAAAATGTGTGACACCTCCCCCTTCTCTCTCTTCCTCCTTTTTTGGCCATGTAAGGCATGCCTGCTTCCCTGTCATCTTCTGCTGTGATTGTAAGTTTCCTGAGGCCTCCACAGCCATGCTTCCTGCACTGCCTGTGGAACTGTGAATCAATTAAGTCTGTCTCTCTCTCTCTTTTTTTTTTTTTTTGAGACAGAATCTTACTCTGTCACCCAGGCTGGAGTGTAGTGGCATGGTCTTGGCTCACTGCAACCTCTGCCTCCTGGGTTCAAATGATTCTCCTGTCTTAGCTTCCAGAGTAGCCGGGTCCAGGAGGAGTCATCTGGTAGTCAGAAAGGCAAAAGTGTGACAAGATGTTTAAAGGGCCAATCTTGCTTGGGCCCAGTGGCTCATGCCTGTAATCCCAGCACTTTGGGAGGACGAGGCGGGTGGATCACAAGTCAAGAGATTGAAACCATCCTGGCCAATATGGTGAAACCTGTCTCTACTAAAAATACAAACATTAACTAGGCATGGTGGCGCACCCCTGTAATCCCAGCTCCTTAGGAGGTTGAGGCAGGAGAATCACTTGAACCTGGGAGGCGGAGCTTGCAGGGAGCCAAGATTGTGCCACTGCACTCCAGCCTGGTGACAGAGACTCTGTCTCAAAAAAAAGGGGCCAATTTTAGGTTCTACAGTTGTAATGTTATTTATGGCAGTAATTGGGGAAGTTGCAAATCTTCCTGTAAATGCTATATTGCCAGAAAAATGGCTGGTAATCATTGAACTATGACTACATCTTAGTAGAATTTAGGCCCCTCTCATCCTCTGAACCTGGTGGCAATGCCAGGCTATTTTTTGTATTTTTAGTAGAGACAGGGTTTCACCATGTTTGCCAGGCTGACCTCAAACTCCTGGCCTCAGGTCATCTACCCACCGCAGCCTCTCAAAGTGCTGAGATTACAGGCATGAGCCACTGTGCCCAGCCAATTCTTTTCTTTATAAATTACCCAGTCTCAGGTAGTTCTTCAGAGCAATGTGAGAACAGACTAATACAATTCTAGAGCATCAATTTCCCAGTTTTGGCTTCTTGGCGGCACCTGGGGAGGAGTAAGATCTGTTGCCTCCAGGCATATGGAATTTAGTCAGTTGAAAAAAAAAAAACAAACCAAAAACAAAAACCCAAGTCCCAAATTTGTTGATGAAGTAGAAGGAACTACTGATCCTGAAGGTTCTGTTTAGACAAGACAATGGAAGATTCAGTGGTAACCTGTTTACAGAAGTGATTAATTGCTAGAACCAGCACACCCTAATTTGCCCCATGCCAAAATGCAAAAGATGAGAATCTTAACCTGACTCAGAAAAAGTGGGTAAAGGCATTTAAAAAGTAACCTTGTTTTTTTCCCACTAGCCCAGGAGAATAGGGGAAATCAATTTTTACATAAAGTAACAGTCTTATGTACCTGACCATACCCACTACATATTAATAGTCTTGGTCTGTTCTGGCTGTTATAACAAAAATACCATAAACTAGGTGACTATTAAATGACTCATTTATTTCTCACAGTTCTGGAGGCTGAGAAGTCCAAGATCAAGGTGCCAGCAGATTTGGTGTCAGGTGTAACTGCCAAGTGGGTTCATTGTGGCTTGCTGCCCATATAGAGCTGATTTATCAAGGCAGGGGAACTGCAATAGAGAAACAGTTTAATATAGGTAGAACCAGCTAAACAGAAGACCAGAGTTTTGTTATTACTCAAATCAGCCTCCCTGAGAATTCAGAGGCTAGGGTTTTTCAAGGACAGTTTGGTAGGCGGGGAACTAGGGAATGGGTGCTGCTGTTTGGATTGAGATTACTCATAGGGGTGTGGAAAACAGTTGTCATGTGCTGAGTCCACCTCTGGGTAGGGGCCACAGCAAAGTTGGTGATCCAGGTAAAGTCATCTGGTAGTCAGAAGTGTAAAAGTCTGAAAAGACGTTTAAAAGGCCAATCTTAGGTTCTACAATTGTGATGTTATTTATAATAGCAATTGGGGAAGTTGCAAATCTTCCTGAAAATGCTATACCTCCAGAAAAATAGCGGGTAATCATTGAACTATGACTACATCTTAGCAGAATTTAGGCCCCTCTCATCTTCTGTACTTGGTGGCCTTTCATTAGTTTTACAAAGGTGGTTTACTTTGGGGAGGGGCTATTATCACTTAAACTTTAAACTAAATTTCTCCCAGCTTTAGCTTGGCCCACACCTAGGAATGACCAAGAGCAGTTTAGAGGTTAAAGTCAAGATGGAGTTTGTTAGGTCCGATCTCTTTCACTATCATCATTTTCTCACTGCTATAATTTTTGCAAGACAGTTTCACTGGTGGGGGTCTGCTTTCTGGTTTATAGGTGGTACCTTCTACCTATGCCCTCACACGGTGGAAAGGAAGAACTCTTGTTTCTGTAGCCCCTTATAAGAGCACTAATCCCATTCATGAGGGCTCTGTCCTCATGACCTAATTATCTCCCAAAGGCCTCACCTCCTAATACCATCAACTTGAGGGTAGGATTTCAACATATGAATTTTGGCAGGCCACAAACATTCAGACCATAGCATATATAGTATGGTGTCTATAATTTAGGTATGTACCATTTGTGATTAAACTGCTACCTTATTACTAACAACACTTAAAACAAAAGTTTAGTAAATTCCACTTTTGAGATGTCATGAACTTAGTTTCAGCCTTGTGGGACCTCATATACCAATGTGTCCTTGAATGCTACTGGGCCACAGGTTTGTATTTGTTTTTTTATTTTTGGCAAGGGAAAGTGGGTGGGTAAAGGAAATATTAGGTGTACAGAACTGAATTAATCAGAATCATCACTTCTTGGCACACAATGATGATTCTGTGTAACATTCTCCTGTTTGATTTTGTTATTTTCCCCTTAATTCTGTCTTATTCCCATTCTCTTCAAAGGTATCCAGTCTAGAGGGTTTTCCCATGCTTACCCATAAAGCCTTGGAACAGCCCAACTGTCACTTAGAAAAACAACTGCTGTTGACTAATATAGATATTTGTGGAACAAGAAACAGGAGTATAACAAGCAAGTTACAAAAGAGTATAACTGGAGTTAGACAGTTTTCTGGTAGACTTTCTTTGCCTATAAAAATGAAGTTAGACCCTGTCACAACAAAAAAATTTTTTAAACAATTAGCCTAGCATGATAGCGCATGCCTGTGGTCCCAGCTACTGGGGAGGCTAACGCGGGAGAATCATTTATGCTTGGGAGGTAGAGGCTGCAGCGAGTCATGATTGCGTCACTGCACTTCAGCCTGGGTGAAAGAGCAAGATCCTGTTTCAAAAAGAAAAACACTGGGAAAAGTGAAGTATGGCTGACCTGTGGCTCGGTCCCAGGGAGAAGTGAGAATTCTGAGATCCTCCAGAGAGCCGAGCAGCACCCACCCCTACTTCGGGCCAGTGGCTTCAGGTTCTACCGGGGACCTGTAAGCTGGCCTAATGTGATGGCCTGCAAGCGAGGCCACCCATGAGCAGCACAGATGAGCTCCAAAGCCAGGTCAGGCTTCCGAGGCCACAAACAGCCTCAGACCCAGGCACTGATTGTGGCTCGGGGCCACTACCCAAAGGCCCAAGACCTAGTTACCCAGAGAGTGAGAAGCCCCAAGAAGGCAGAAAGTTGGGAGCATGGCAGAGAGGGAAGGGAAAGATTTCAGGGAAAAAAAATGTGTCACATGTCTTTAGAAGCAAGTTAGGTTTCATGTCACTGAGTGTCTTCTTGCACGTCCAAAAGTAGCCCAGGGCTGTAGCACAGGCTTAACAGTGATTGTGTGTTCAGCCATGAGTCACACTACATGACCCCCTGAAGCTGGGCATTGATGAAGTCCAAGCTGTCCTTGAGTAATAAAAACATATGTTGCAAAAAAAAAAAAAAGCTCGATATGTAACAAGAACATACAATATACAATAAAGCAAAAATGACAGTGGATCATACCTGTAATCTCAACACTTTGGGAAGCTGAGATGGGAGAATCGCTTGAGGCCAGGAGTTTGAGACCAGCTTGGTCAACACAGTCTCTACAAATTTTTTTTTTTTTTAATTAGCCAGGCAGGGTGGTTTATACCTGTAGTCCCAGTTACTTGAGAGGCTGAGGCAGTGGGGGGTGGCGCACAGGGGATCACTTGAGTACAGGAGTTCGAGACTGCAGTGAGCTATGATGGCACCACTGTACTCCAGCTTGAGTGAAAGTAAAAAAACCAAAATCAAAACCCCTTTTGGCTCTGAGAAGCACCATGGCAGTTGGCAAGCACAAGCACCTTTGAAAGGTGGCAAAAGAGGGAGCCAAGAAGAAAGTGGTTGATCCATTTTCTAAGAAAGATTGGTATGATGTGAAAGCACTGGCTATGTTCAATATATGAAACATTGGAAAGATGCTGGTAACCAGGACTCAGGGAACCAAAATTGCATCTGATGGCCTCAAGGGTCATGTATTTGAAGTGAGTCTTGCTGCTCTGCAGAATGATGAAGGTGCATTTAGAAAATGCAAGATGATTACTGATGATGTTCAGGCAAAACATGCCTGACTAACTTCTGTGGCATGGATTTCACCTGTGACAAAATGTGCTCCATGGTCAAAAAATGACAGATCATGATTGAAGCTCATGTTGATGTCAAGACTACTGATGGTTATTTGCTTCAGCTGTTCTGTATTGGTTATACTTAAAAATGCAATCAATACAGATACAGATATTCACCACCAACAGGCTTGCCAAATCTAGGAGAAGATGATGCAAATCATGACCCAAGAGGTGCAGACAAATGACTTAAAAGCCGTGGTAAATAAATTGATTGGAAAAGACATATAAAAGGGTTGCCAATCTATTTATCCTTTCCATGATGTCTTCATTAGAAAAGTAAAAATGCTAAAGAAGCCCAAGTTTGAATTAGTAAAACTCATGGAGCTTCATGGTGAAGGTAGTAGCTCTGAGAAAGGTACTGGGCATGAGACAGGTGCCAAAGTCAAAGGAGCTGATGAATATGAACTCACTGGTCCTAGCATCTGTTTAAAGTTCAGACTTTTAATAGTGGCAAATAAAAAGTTCTATTTGTGAAAAAAAATGATTTTATAATGCTTATTATTTTGAAGATAAAAGTTATACAAGTATTAGATCATGTTTAAATCTAGAATAAGCTGAAAAAAGCAGCAGAAATCTTTGCATATTAATAGAAAGATCTCAGAAGTCTTTATTTATTGGCATGTTAGCTACTCTAAGGTTGTGAGGGTAACTTACTGACCTGAAAAAACACATTTTAAACCAGTGTGAGATGTGGCTAATTGACTAATCAGAGTAGGAAAGATCCAGATGACTTTCTAGAATAATTCAGATCAGAGTGAATAGCAACAGAGCAGATGGTGAACGGCCTTGAAAGGCAATGCCTTAATTTATTTACTGTTTGTTTTCCAGTTTCTGTAATTTTAATTAAAGTGAGTAGAAATAAAATTTTGTCTAAGCATTTTTGTTCCCAATATGAAAGGTGTTGACACATTATATCACTGAGTTGGAAAGATAAAGACAAGGGAAAGGATTAGAATTTGGTGTGAATTAACATATCACAGGACTCTTGTGTCTGTAAAAGGTGAGGAAACAAACACATGTGTTAATGTAACTCCAACTGCAAAGGAAGGCTGTCAAGGCATGTGGCTTTGCTTGGCCAAAAGCTGTTGATTCCAAAAATGTAATTTCATTTATTGGATTGTATTGTAATTAACACAGGGAGTTGCACTAGCTCAGAAATCTTATCTTTATTATCTTGGGAGAAGAAATTATGAAATGTGTGCACTTACAAAATATAATTCATATTTTGCAGAGGGTTATAATGCTAATGGGTCTTGGGAACCTTCTGGGATTATGAATTCAAGTTTACAATTAGGGTTTTTGCTTTGCAATCTCAAGTGCGGTTTACCTGGAGCATTTAGCATTTTGTGTTAAATGGTATTTAATAGAACTTGGGAGCTCTTCAGAGCAGGAACTTCAATTTTTATTGTTGTTGTTGTTGTTACCTATTGCAAAGCACTAAGCTCACTGCTAGAGAAAACTAGCGGTCACTTTTTATGTTTACATCTGGTTGTTCTTTATAATCAAGTAGAGATCATCTCTAACATTTAACAATTCGAAAAGGCATAATACCTCACTAATGTGTGTAGAGGATTCACTATTTTAATAATTAAGCAAAATCTTTGATACTTGTATGGACATAAGGTAGACAGCATAAAAGACAGAAAAACTAATTTATGGATTTCTTTAAATAGTAGGTAGGGACAATTCATTTCCTCAGATATTTGTAATAAAATCTTAGAACCAGAAAGTATCTACCTAGGAATACTAAAGCTCAAGCTTTAGCATGAGATTTATCTGCAAGAATGAGCTCAGCTACCAACTTATATACTGTCAAAGCAGAGACTGCCCTTTCAAACCTCTCCTTGGGAAACTAATTAGCAGAATAATAAAAAGGCAAGATCAACTCTTGTCTTCCTTGTTGGGGATATTAAAAAAAACAGTAGTTCTAATTAGCAATAATTAAAATTTAATTAAGAAGCTCTTTGCAATCCTCCTCCCTGCTTCCTGAACTAGTGCTTGCCAGCTCTTCGTTGTGGAGCTGTTTTTATTCCTGTGGTGCTGAATCATGGCTTAATCACAAAGCCCTAGATCACAGCTTATCCAGCCCTGAGCGCTCATCACCACAGCCTTCTAAGAGTAACAAGTATATATTCTAGATTTTATAACCCAAGTGATTACTTTCTTCAGTTTTATAATAATGAATTATGACTCTTTTTACTTTTTAAGCAGCTGTTACAGATGCCATTGCTTTTTATTTTTAAACTTTTCTTCTTCCTATTTGTTCCCTTAGTTCTACTGCTCGTTGCAACAAGAGGAAGGAGACCTCCAAGAATATTAAATATTTGAACCCAAATTTCTACTTCTATGTTTTAAAGTAAAGCAGGTACCTAGCTTAAGTATAAAAAACTAAAATATTGGTGAAACCCCAGATTTTAAAAATAAAAGTGTTTGATTATTTAAAAATAAAACAATAAATTGTAGATGAGGGTTAAGGAAAGTAAATGTAGTACTTGATGGTTCTTACAAAGCTTATATAATATTCTAAGTATTAATCTGAGTTTAGAATATTTCAACTTGTAAATGGAATCCCACTTAATTGTGCATTTTAATGTGGTTATAATGGTTAATTTTATATCATATGAATTTTATCTCACTAGAAAAAGGAACTCAAACTCTGACTTTGTCCTAGTTTTGGGTATGAGGATTAATCATAGTTTACAGAGAGGGAAAAAAAACCCCAAGATTTGATAGTTCATTATGAGCAAAAGAAAAAGGAAATAATCAAGAACAGAGGGAAATTAGTTTTTTAAAAGCCACTGAACTAAGAAATATAACCCTGGTTCTTTAATTATTAAGGAAAGGGCTCTGAATCTGCTCCATTATCTTAATTATGCTTCTGGAGCAAACATTATTTCAATGTGATAAAAGATGACATGACACTAAAGGTAAAGCCTGAGCAGATGTTACATGAGTAACAAGCCAATAGGCCCACATTCTGGTAATTTCTTCCCCACTAGACATGTTCTCATTAATCTGTGATTAATAGGATTCGAGTATAGTAAATGATGATGATCTATTGTCTGTCTTTGTCGAGCACCATGGAGGGAGTAATTTGTCAGCTCAGCTTTTGTGTGACTATTTAATAGCAAAGAGGGAGAGAGAAAAGACACTAATCTTCTAATTGGCATCTACAGAGAAGGTTTAGGAGAATATTTCCTCTGTGGAAATAGCCAGTGTAATTCCTATGCCTAAGGAAAGCAAATGCAGACTCTATGTATTTGTTATGTAACTAATTGTGCCTTCTATAGAACAAAAGGTAGGGATGGGGATAAAGAAAAAACGGCAACAAAAAAGTCTTAAGAGATCATAAGGTAACATTTATTAACTTGTAAGGTAACATTTGTTAATTTAGATGTGAGGCTTTTTCAACTACAGTAACTTGCCAAAAAAGTGGGCAAAAGAAAAAAATTACTTTTGGTTAAAAAAATCTTGCTCAGATGTACCAAAATAACAACTTATACTAAAAGGCCAGCATCATCATCAGTACCACCACTAGCAACACAGAATGCCCTGATGTTATGATGGTAAAAATTTTAATCAATAAATCAGCTGTTTTGAATGAAAATAATTTGATGATTAGTCCTGTCAAGTCTACTGTAAAACCTTCTTCAAATGGCTATATCTTGGTCAGAATGATATGTGAAACTGTTCTCTTCCTTTTTCCCCCTCTCTCTCTTTGTATCTTTAAAAATTTTTGGCCAGGCATGGTGGCTCACACCTGTAATCCCAGCACTTTGGGAAGCTGAGGCGGGTGGACTGCTTGAGCTAAGGAACTCAAGACCAGCCTGGGCAACATGGTGAAACCCCATCTCTACAAAAATTACAAAAAATTAGCCAGACGTTGTGGTGTGCACCTGTAATACCAGCTACCCAAGAGGCTGATGTGGGAAGATCATCTGAGCCTGGGGTGATTGAGGATGCATTGAGCTGTGATTATGCCACAGCACTCCAGCCTGGGCTACCAAAAAAAAAAAAAAACCCATCTAAAATTTTTTTTTCTTCTGCACACTTATCTATATTTTAGGTTCTAGGTACTTTTCTGTTTGGTGGAAATGAAAAAGACAAGGTCTCACTGGGAGAAGATATTTGCAATGCATACAACCAACAAATAATTAGTATATGCAGAGTATATAGGAAAAGACTGCTGATCAACCTTAAAGAG